TGAGGTGGTCACCTGTGGATGCAGGAGTGGCCTCTCGAGCTGTTAAAGTGGCAGGGCCTCCAGGCCTGTGCCGATCGGCACTTGAGTCACGTTCGTCCAACCAGCGACACCCAAACAGGGCGACAGGTCCTGGATGCTTCTCAGCACCCTTGACAGGGACTCCTGCTTCACCCTTGACCGCAGACCAGCACAGCAGGAAGCCATCCCCTTCCCCCATCTCTAGACACAGCCCTGAGGAATTCCCGGCGCCTTCTCCCAGCCCAGGGCTGCTTTCTTTCTTTCCTTCTTTTTATTTCTCTTCTTCTCCTCTTCCTTTTTTTTTTTTATTACCCCCAAAGCAAAATTTATTTGTAAGGTACTAAAGGAAGCCTCCTGTCCCTTTTTATGCCAGCAGCCCTCAGCAGAGAAGTGAAATCGTGTATTTCGCTGCTAAAAAAAGCCCCGACTTATACAATTTTAACAATAGAAAAATGATCTTTGCGCTCCAGTGCATGGAGGCTTGAGGAGAACCGGCAGGATTCAGGTGGCTGGCGCATTACAAATGAGCCGTTCGCCTGTGTTTTGAGTGACAGGCAATTTAAATGCAGTCTTATATGGAGGCCAGGGGATTTTTTTTTTCCACCCCAGAAGGGGAGTTGCGGGGGGGGGGGGGGTAGGGGGGGAGTGTAAAAAAGGTGGGAGGAGCAAGAAGAACCGAGGGACTCCGGCTCCCCCGCCCCCAGGAGTTGAGAAGTCCAGCTCGAGCTGTTTAATTAGGAAATCAGGAGTTCCTGGTCGGACTAATTTGTGATTACAGCGTAGCTAATAGTGGCCAGAGCCTAGCCTGCTGAGCTCCATGGGAGTGTACCTCGCTGGGTCCCCAGAGCCTGGCATAAACAAATTGGGGGCCACATTTGTGTTGCCTGAAAAAGTGTTCTTAGCGCCAACACTTGAAAACACGGGTCCTCTGCTTTTATCTTTAACCTGGGGCCAATAAATATGGTAATAAAATTTCCAGTGGTTCCTCCGGCCCCAGCAGGCGTCCCCCTCGGGCCTGGTGTCAGGGACACATGGCCGGAGGGGGACAGAGGGTTGCAGAAACAAGTGCTGACTACTGTCTGCCTGGGTGATTGGAATTGATGTTCCCAAGTTAGGAAAGGCCTTCTAGGGCAGGGAAGACAGTTCAGTGGCTAAAGAGCGCTTGCCGTGGAAGCATGAGGAGCCGGGTTCGAATCTCTAGCACCCATGTCAAATCCAGATGTGGAAGCATAGACTGGAGGAACTCCATTTGGCCAGATTTTAACCCCCAGCAGGCAAGAGCCACATAGGTGGTTGCAACAGGACCTCCCTCTCCTGAATTCACTGCCGGGGTCCTGTCCCATGTAAGTACCATACGATTGCTGTTTCTAACAGTGAACTTCTGTAGGGCGTGTGGCAGGCCACTTCTGTCTCCGTGTTGCCCGTGTGGCCTCCAGATTGCTGCTGTCACAAGCCCAGTCTCGATACTTCCACCCTTCCCTGTGACCAGGCGTGGCCATGACCCGGACACACAGACTTCCTCGTGCCGAGCTGTCCCGTCAAGGCCTCTAGGTTAAGGGTACCGGAATGGCCACTTCTAAGCGGTCAGTGGTGCATGGATGGTGGTGAGTGTATTGGACAGATCAGCTCTCGGGGACATTATAGGAAGACAGACAGAGACATAAAGACACCGCTACAAACTGGTGGGCACCGTGATGGGAAGGGGGTGGGGGTCGTGGGTGAGGCTGGAGTAGCTGTAAAGGACTCAGCCAGCCCTTGTCCCCACATCTGCTTTTACAATTCATGGGAACACTCTCGCCCTCCTGCAGACCCCAGCCAGGACCGTGTTCAGCACAGACGGCTGGGGACGAGAGCGTCTGATACATATATTCGTATCAGATGGGTGGTGAATGGTGTCCATCCTTGGGGCTTCCACGAACCATGTGTCAGCAAGACAACAGCTTCTAACTTCAAGCAGCTGCAGGACCCTGGGGAGTCAAAATGACCACCACCACCCCCTGCCTGGGGCTCTTGCTTTCTCAGGGACAAAGGGCACCCGATTCCTTGCCTCCACGGTCAGACATTGGTGGAGGTAACTTGGTGACTTGCCATGTCTTTGAAGACAGATGTTCACTAACAAGAGTCTGTGGTTTGCCTCAGCATTTTACTGTCATTACCAGCTTCTCGGGGATGCTCCCAAACTCACTGCCTCCCAACACTGCCAAGATACACGTGGTATTTCACCGCCCCGCCCTGCTGGGGCATCCTTCCCTTGGAGTAGTCTGTCTTGGAAGGATGGCAATCCTCCTGTGTTGGATGACTCCATTTTCTCATGCTTCCTGCCCTTTCCCTTCCCCAGCACACTTCCCTTCTCAGGGAGAGATGGGGATTCGCCAAGTCCCACCACCAAACTGGGTCAGCCTCCCCCTACTTCCACCCCTCTGCCAGTCCCCCGACTCCCCACACCCTGCTTTTCCTTCCAAACATTTACTGCTTGTAATTAACAGATCACCTGGGGAATTGCCCTAAGGTCCACGTCCCCACCCGTTATGACTATTCTTAGTCCTCGGTACTGGGCACATCACAGGGACTCTTGGGAAATGTTGGTTGAGTGAATGAAAGGCTGTCACCCTCGAAGGTCAGTGACCGGGAGTCTCTTCTCAGGAGAACAGTGAGGGGTGAAAGTGTTGTAGTCACTGGCCTTTGAAGTCCGTGTTTGAGACGGACGTTGCATTTCTCTCCACTTCTCTAACATAACTCCTCCTGGTCTGCAAGGCCTCTGTGGACCACCTCTGTCAGATAGAAACCTAATGATCACAGACAGACTCTGACACTTTCTGGTAACCACGTTGTTGAAATGGTAAAAAGTGACTACGCATCATCACTTCAGAGTGCAGCTCCGTTGTTAAATGGTGGGGAGCCATGCTGTCCTTTTTTATGCTAACTAAGGCTTTGAAATCCTGTGTGTATTTCACATTCATTACACGTTTTGATTTGGACTGCCCATGGTTCAGTTGGTCAGGAGCCACACGTGGCTTTGGCAGTCATATTGGGGATCATACCAGCCATATTGGGTATCATGGCAGCCATATTGGGTATCATGGCAGCCATATTGGGTATCATGGCAGCCATATTGGGTATCATGGCAGCCATATTGGGCAGCATGGCAGCCATATTGAGCAGTGTGAATCTCTATATTGGATGTGTTTTTCAGATTCTCCTCTTGGTGCACTGGTTTGCGTAGCAAGGCAGGTCTTTTCTTAGGTTCTTTTTGTGAAGCACCAGAAAGACAAACACAATTGAGATTCTCACTCCGGGAACTGGCAGAATCAAGGTGGTACTGGACACCCTTGGCAGTAAACAAATCTGTGAGGCCTCGCGCATGCCCACAGCTAAAACCCTGGATCTCTAGGACCTTTTGAAGGAGTTGCTGTATTATTAGCTCCCCCCACACCCACCTTTTACAAATGGAGAAGTAGAGGTGTGAGGATTTAAGCGAATTTGTGTTCAGCTAGCCCATTCTAGAACTGGGGTTTGAAATCCTGGTGTCCACCCCCCTGGATAGGTTGTCTCAGAAATGGCCTCTGCCATTGGGAAACAAAAGAGCCCCTAACAGGATTTTGTTGGGAAATGGGGTTGGTGCAATGCACTCAATTTGTTTATTTGGTAAATGGCATTGATGGGCTGGGGGGTGGGGCTCAGTTGGTGGAGTGTGACCCTAGCATGCATGAAGCCCTGGGTTCGATCCCCAGCACTGCATAAACTAAAAGAGGTGCTGCGCTCCTGTAACCTTAGCACTTGGGAGGTGGGGCAGGAAGACCAGGAGTTCAAGGTTATCCTCAGCTACACAGTGAGTTTGAGGCCAGCCTGGGCTACATAAGACCTGCCCTGCCGCGCTCTGAGAAAAAGAATTATATTGGGCACCGACTTTGTGCCAGGAAGAGCTCCGAGGGCTATGTTTAAGGGAAGGCCTCAGCCACAGTTGGTCCCCTATCTCTTTGACTCCATCGCTGAGAGATATAGGAAGTTATGCCAGCCCAGGAGAAGACGCCAGTCTTCGCTCCCACCCGCCACACAGGAAGTTGGTGCTGGGAGGGACATGTGTGGTACCAGCCGCTTCAGGCTCACCGCCACCCTCCGTGACCCAGCCAGTCCTGTAGATGTGGGGTGGCTGTTGGTGCCTCCTAGGCCCTGGCCTCAGAATGGAAGGCCCAGGCCTGTGCATCGCAACTGGCCAGCAAGAGCTCGGCTCAGAGCCACCGGACTTCACTGTCTGAACTGGGAAACAAGAGGGTCCTGAGCCCGGAAGTTCCACAGCTGTCAGCCCGCCCAGAGTCACCTAGCCGCGCGATGCCTGTGGCTCTCGCCTTCCACAGAGTCTTACTGAACAAGAACATGAGGAAGAGAAGGATGGGTGAGCGGAGCTCCTCACCACTGAGCTGCCTGGTGTGTGTGTTCAGCCATTCAGTCGGGAAGCATTTATTGAGCACCATCTGTATACCAGGAACTTTGACATTAAACCCTATTACTCTGTGATGTTGGTTGAGGCTGTTAGTGTCTTCTGAGAACTGACAGTTGCAGTTTTCGCCAAGCATGTCCCACTCTCTCCCAAAGCATGTCATGTTTGAACTCGACCGCATTGCCCTTGAGTAAAGATTAATAGGCAATATTATTAATAACCTATTGTTTGCCTTTCCTGGTGTTTAGATCTTCCAAGCTGGTTAGAAAGTGGGTCCTATTGTGTATGATTTAGCTACCCCACCCCGCCCCACATCCCCATTCTGGAGGAAACTGAGGCTCAGAGGAGGGCAGTGACTTGTCCAAGATCACACAGCCTGGACATAGTGCAGCTGGCCTATGAACTCAGAGTCCTTGATGTGGGAGCCTCCACTTGTAACTGCCGACACCCCACCATCTCTCTGCCCGCTTTGCGCAGGAAGGTAGTGGTCACTTTGCAGGTCCAGGGCCATGGCTGCACGTGACGCTTTCTCTTCTTTCCGAAGGTGGTGGCTCTGAGTAAGAGAAGCCAGGAAGCAGAGGCAGCGCTCCTGAGTGTTTATAAGCAATTAATTGAAGCGCCAGGTAAGAAGCTCTTGGACTCCCTAATTGAGTAATTACCACTGAGGAGCGCCGTGAACAGTGACGCAGATACCACAGTGGCTTCCTGGCGCTGGGGTCTGGGGACAGGCCAGGGCCCAGGGAGAAGCCAGACCCTCTGGCAGCTGGGGCTGGGGGTGGGGGTGGTTTTGTGTGTGTGTGTGTGTGTGTGTGTGTGTGTGTGCGCGTGTGACTTAACCAGCCTGGTGTGAAGTGTCCTCATGGCTCCCTCCATACTCCCCCGTATTTCTGCCTTTTGGGTGGGAGGGTGGCTCTGATGTGATGCCTACCTGGGTCTTCTCATCCATGTCTTGCCCCAGGGGACCCTTCCAGGGCTGCAGGGGACTCTGCCAGCAGGGGGCAATAGAGGGATAATGCCACCTTTTTCCACAGCCAACTTCAGAATCTCACTATTGAGATCCTGAGGACCAACTGGAGGGCTGAGGGAAGCCTGGTCCAAAAGAACAAATACTGGCTAGTTCCCCTCACAGACAGTGTGAGTGGGTCCACTGCCCTGCTTACAGTGGTCAGGGCCAACCCTGCCCTGTGTCTGCCATCAGATAAGGATTTCAAAAGCGTGCTCCATCCACACTGCAAAACAAGTAAGCCGTGAGAAGAAGCAGTGCCCATGTCTGCTACAGCATGTGATTATGTTCGAAGGAAGCATCTAGAACAGGCATCTAGATCCACCACGAGAGAGACTACAGAGGTCAGAGGAGGGGTACGGGGTTTCCTTCCAGGTAGAGAAGATTCTAGAACTTGAGGGAGGCGAGGCAAGGGCGCTCTGTAGGTGAACTGAATGCCGCTGGAGGGTTTCCTTAAACCACAGGCCACCAGTGAGACGAACATCACCTCAGATGAACACAACAGCCTTCCACTACCACAAATCAGTCATGTCTGAGGTCCCCGCAGGGCTCTGCACACAATGCTGGCCTTGGTCTGGGTATGGGTCATGGCAAGGTGACCCTTTTAAGGTTGTTTAGCTAACAGTACTCAGTCCCTGCCATTTTCCCATTTGTTGGTCCACACCCACCCCCCACACAGCAGATGTCAGGGCCACAAGGCCACCCCTCCAGCAGACTGCCATGCTAAGCTTGTGGGGTGCACCAACCAGCCATTCCAAGGCTTGGGGTATCCTGACTCAGGTCAGACGTGAGGCTTCAAGTTGAGCACGGTAGTTCACATCTGTGACCCCAGCCCTCAGAAGACTGAGGCTAGCCTGGGCTACACAGTAAGACTCTGTCTCAACGGCAATAAAAATAAAACAATCGGGAAGGAGGTTCAGTTGGTAAAATGCTTGCCTGGGTCCCATCCCTGGCACCACGTAAAATCCTGGGTGTGGTGGTGAGTGCTGGCAATCCCCGTGCTGGCAGAGCCAGACTGATTCCGGGGGCTCAGCCTCTAGCCTGTTTGGGGAGCCCTGGGACACTGAGGCCTGTCTCAAAAAAACAAAACAGAAGCCTCCCGAGAAAGGACCACCGGAGGCTGACTGCTGACCTCCACCCGGCGGCACACACATGCATGTGCACCCAAGCAGGCGTGCAAGTACACACACATGGGAATGCTCACACGCACAGAGAAAACACTTCATTTCTTGGAGACACCATCTTTCTGGACCCCAGGCTGTTTTAACTCCGTTATGGGCTCAGCCGAGAGCCACATGAGCCCCCCTGAGACTGGTGTGGAACCTTCCAGAAAATCCTCATTGCCTCTTACGCCTGTCCCCAAAGCCTGGGTACTCAGAGGTCACGGGGAGACTGGGGAGCCCAGCACTGACTCCACGCCTTCCCAGGCCTCCTCCCATGCAGGAGGGCTGAGGAGGGGGGAGGGAGGGGTGCCACATCCCAGCTGTCACCCAGCTAGAAAATGAGGAACCTTAACGGATGGAGACGCGCCACACAAACAGCCCCTTCAGGGGCACTAATTCATTTTCAAGACATTTAAGAATAACACAATGTTTTAATGATTTCTTCGGGGAATCGGGAAGACGTATTTTTGTGCTCATTAAATGTTATCCGCAGACACAAGAAGCAAATGTCAGATGCGGAGGTTTTGGGGGGCTTGGAGTGCGTGCATGCACACACACACACACACACACACACACACACACACACACACACACACACACACACCACACTTCCCACCCCTGCGCAGCCGGGATGCACCGACTCTCCGTTGGTCTATGTCTTGACAGGCAAGTAATTTGTCGCAGTTCCCCCCACCCAAGTCCTGATTCAACATTTCCGTCTGAATGACTGGCTGCTGCCAGCGCGAGGCCTTGGCAGGCAGCGAGACGCGGGCTGATTGCTCAGCAACTATTTTGATAAGTGCGCAGTCCGTGTATCTGTAATTACGGAAGAAAACCGTAAATCTTTTGGATATTGTTCGCACAGATGTGGCACGAAGTGAGAAAAAAAAAAAAAAACCCAGTAAAATGTGTTAAAAGCGTAATTAATGTCATTGTTGTGAGGGAAGACTTGATTTAAACCCCTTGGCTTCAGCGTGCCGTGTTGATAGCTCACGTCTTCACTGTGCACAAGCCAAGTCGTCGGGGGGACCCGGCCCAGCCTCAGCAGGAGAACTTGGGGACCCGGTGACTAGAACACAGGAAAAAGGAAAGGGGAACCGGAGGAGAGAGCCAGGGAGGCCAGGGGGACACGTGGACACGCGACTGAGCCCACTGAAAGACAGGTGAGCAGCCCAAAAGGCTTCTTGGGTTTTCTTTGGGTTTCTAAAAGTCGGGTGCAAGATTTGAGAATCCCCTGCAGGTGTTCCTTTTGGGGTGAGATTGCTTGTGGAAGGGAAAAGGTTCCCGCTGCAGTGGCTGACATGCGTACACGGGACTGTGTCCTCCATGTACCGAGCTGCGTGACCTTAGCCAGGAGCCTCACCCTCTCTGGTCTCTATGTCTTTAGAAGAGAGGTCACAGGACCTTCTGGTTGGTTGGCACGAGGGTTTGATGCTCCGTGCGTGAGGGGGTTTCGAGGAACCTCCCATGGCCTGTTGGACATCGGGGTCCAAGGGCTGCAAGCGTCTGCTGTGGATCACACAGGGCTGTCACCTGTCTAGGACTCTGGGGGAGCTGTGTAAGCGACGGTGCTCCTGGGTCTGTGCAACAGGGAGCCCCTTGGCCAGGTTTCAGGGTTTTTAATGTGTCTTCCCAAGCCTAAAACAAAAAACAAAGGAAGAAACTTTTGCTTTACACACACGTACACACACGTGTGCACACACACACACACACACACTCAGATGACAGGAAATCTAGGAACTGCCGGTTGTCACCTCATTCTGTCGCCCCCTGTGAACTTCTGCGGAGTGGTGTCTGGCCCTCCCTGTGACCAGGGCCCTCCCTCCGGGTCCCCTTCCCCAGCATGAGTGCGGTTCCTCCCTGTGAGACTCCAGACCTGTCAGCTTCGATGCCTGGCTCCGACTCTTATGTGGCTGTTCTTGGGTGTCCTGAGCCCCTTCCCACACTGCCCATGCGCCGAGGGCTCAGTGCCGCCGTGCTGGGGTTCTTTGGATGAGAAAGAAAAAAATGTACAGAGGCAAGTACGTCGCAGCCTTGTCCTGATCGCAAACCCTGTGGTCAGAACAAATGAGATTGTTTCTCCTTGTTGGTCTGCCCAGCTCTTCTTTTTTTTACACCTTCACACAGGGTGTTCTCATACGTTGTATTCTGCAAACTGACCGTTGTGTTACTCTTCCATTTGTGTCAGGACTTAATGATGATTGATTTGTCAATGCTCTTTGTATATTAGGGTTAGGAGCGTTGGGGCTGGTAGACATGTTTGGCATTTTCTCTCCTAAACTGACTTTTGCCTTTTTAACTTTGTTCGTGACCTCTTACGTACGGTACCTAGCAGACGTGCAGGTGACGATTTCTAGAAAGTAGAAATTCTTACAAACTCTTTCTTTATGTGTCCTGTTTTTAAATGCGTTTTCACCCGAGGGTTGGGAGGGGTTTGGGGGTATTCTTGAGATCTTTTTAAAATTTGGAATCTGAGCCTTGTGAAATAGATTTTTGATGGCAGCAGGAAGTAAAATAGTTGCTTTTGAGATTGGTCCCAAATGACTAATTCTAGCGCCATCTAGTGGTCAAGCCGCGTCACTGCCATGGCAAAGAGCGCGTTTCGCGTTTCGTATGATTGGAAACTGGTGGCCACTGTTCCAGCTACCACCCCCTCCTTCCCTCCCTCCCTCCCTCCCTCCTTCCATGCTTGTGTCTCTAGGGAGAGAAACACTTCATTTGAGCTCAGGTGGAAAACAGAGGTGCCATCTTGCCAGGACGTTTCTGGGGTGCTGTCTGCATGACAGGCATCTTGCCAGCCCCTCAAAGGCACAAGCTTGCTGACACCCCCCCACACACACACACTCACTCATACACCCCCACCTCAAGGTCAGCTCAGAGAGGTCAAGTCGCTTGCTGGAGGTCACACAGCAGAGAGGCACCGGAACCCAAGCCCTGCCTGCGGTTTCCGATGTCCACCCTCGCTGCAGAATTCATGCATGCCTCGAAGGACTTTGGGAAAACGGCCACACGGGAGATGTGTGGAAAGAGGGGGCCACCGTGGGAGAGGCTTTAGTGCCAGTCCTTTAGGGGAGCTGGGGCAGGAGGACAGGGAGGCCCTTGCTGAAAACCAGCTGCTCTCACTAGCAGAGTCCCGGCATCTCCTCCTGTGTGAACCCCCAGAGCTGAGGGATGCAAAGAGCTGCACATTGGGGTGGGGGGAGCAGAGGAAGAGGAGGGCTCTGGGCTGCAGCGATAGGCCAGGCCCCACTCTGCCAGTCCGCTTCTCCCCCCATGCCTGGCTCTTCCCTGGCCCGTTTCCCCTGACACATAAGATGTAGACGGGGTACCCCGTCTCTACGGGGCTGTGGGGCAGCACAGACCCCCCCCCCCAGCCTGCTCCCTGCCACACACTTGTCCCCCTGTGCCACTCCTTTGGCAAATACTGAGTGCTTGCTGTTCGTCGGCCTCTCCGCTG